AGCTTTTCAGAAAAGATGAATCACTGTCTGGCCAACTAAGATAAAAGTTAGGATCAAGGTTTTTTTAGTACTATAGCATACAATTGAGTGTATATCAGCACTGTTTGTTAGTTAATTTGGGAATCTAACGGGTCATTTGGACCTGGAAAAGGTGACAAGTGACGTCACAAACAAATAAAAGTGACATTTTTGCAGAAATGTGGAAGTTATAATAAAAAAAGCATTTAGATAATTCTGTTAAATCGTGTGTTTTATTTGAACTATACAGCTGTTTTTGGGATTGTTTTAGGGTTTTAGGTGTTACGTTGTCAGGGCATCAAAGTTGTAAAATTGGATATAACTTTACACAGAAAATGCTAGTAAGGAATGTTTTCACACTAAAATCATGTTAATAATCAATAAATCATAAATCATGTTAATAAGCATATTGTTTACATCTGAAACAGCGAATATTTTAACATTTATTGATTTCCCCCCATACACTTCCATTACTGTAACCCTGATTTCTGCTTTTTTAAGAAGTGGAAGGACAACTTGAATCTATTTTTGTGTTAATCAGCATTATGCCACAAATGCTGTCGACTGAGCTTAACTGAATCGAAATGTTCTGGATTCGAAATTCATCTGAATCCACATTCAATCCGAAATATTCTCGTAGTTTCGAGTATCAACTTTGTCTCAAATGTTTTTCTTAAAAATCCCTATGATAAATTGAAATAGAATAAATGGAAATCTATGACTTTTGATTGCAGACTTTGATATTTTGGCAAATCCAGGCACAGTTCAGGACATTTTTGAGACCGCTTCTAAAATACTAAAAGACAGTAAGACTCATGATATTATTGGGTCTGAGAAGCATGAGACTTCATGCTAGGAGAAACAAGTGAGATATTAAAGAGCTCTCATTCGTGATTTTTCGTTGTCACTGGCATCTCTTTACACACTGGGGGCTGTTTTCGTTCTGTTTCCCACCCCGCAGAGTGATCTATTAAACTTGAGCGCATCTTAAATATCCGCTCCCCTGTCTCCGCTCTGATAGGCCTCTGAGACCCTCGCTAGTCTAATTTTCTGCTAGGGATCCAAGCACCGTACCCTGGGGCTGAGAGCTTTTATTTGTCTGGGACTGGTTTCACTAGGCTGGGCTGCATGGTTATCTGATGGCTGTGTGTGTTGAAGTCAGCCAGGAAGACAGTGATGGAGAGAATTTGACCATTTTAGGGATGTTAGCAAATGTTTGTGGGTTTAATGAATAGGGGCTTGCCTTTGAGTTTGGTTTCGGTAAGTGTGTAGATGTTGCTGGAATGATTGAAAACTGAATAGTAAATGAAGTCTGCGGTGGCCGTGAAGTGCAAAGCAAATCACAATTCTGAAAACAAAATAACAAATTACAAATCAGATTTCTGATGACGAGAACATCAGGAACATAAGTGTCGTGAGGAATCATCATACAGTTGTGATCTTCAAACTGACGCTGTTCGCATGTTCGTTCTTATTGTGTAAATTATTTAAAGTGAAAAATGTTTGTTCTTAATAATATTTCATTAAAATGTCATCTGAAATAAATCCCTGTTCACAACACCTTACATTTTGGTTTTTAACTTCCACTTTATGTGATCCAAAGTTGGCATGAAATGAAAATTTACCTATTTTCTAAATGCATGTTTTTGATTTTTTATTGTGAACAATTCATTCATGCATATGATTCCATTAAAAAAAATTGAATTTTTTAATCAAAATTTCATAACTCGGTCTTCCAGTGAAATTACAGACTTCTTTTTGGTTGACGTATGCCGGACTTCTCCAATCATTTAGTCTGCTTAAAGGAACACTCCACTATTTTTGAAAATAGGCTCATTTTCCAACTCCCCTAGAGTTAAACAGTTGAGTTTTACCATTTTCGAATCCATTTAGTTGATCTTCGGGTCTGGCGGTAGCACTTTTAGCTGTAGCTTAGCATAGATCATTGAATCTGATTAGACTGTTAGCATCTCGCTCAAAAATTACCAAAGAGTTTTTATATTTTTCTGTAGTTACATCGTGTACTAAGACCGACGGAAAATGAAAAGTTGTGATTTTCTAGGCCGATATGGCTAGGAACTTATACTCTCATTCCGGCGTAATAATCAAGGAACTTTGCTGCCGTACCATGGGTGCAGCAGGCGCACTGATATTACGCAGTGCCTGAACGGTCTAATTAGATTCAATGATCTATGCTAAGCTACAGCTACAGCTCCTTGTCCTACATCTTTTTTTCTCATTGAATACCCTGTTTCACTTGGAAACATGTCATAATAGGAAACTAAAATGGGATGTGAATGCCATTTAATGTTGACTTTAAGTGCACTCTTAAAAATAAAAGTCCTTGATAGGCATCTATGGTTTTAGTGACGTGACATGTGGCCAAGTATGGTGACCCATACTCGGAATTAGTGCTCTGCATTTATCCCATCCAAAGTGCACACACACAGCAGTGAACACACACACACCGTGAACACACACCCGGAGCAGTGGGCAGCCATTTTTGCTGCGGCGCCCGAGGAGCAGTTGGGGGTTCAGTGCCTTGCTCAAGGGCACCTCAGTCGTGGTATTGAAGGTGGGAGAGAGCGCTGTACATTCACTCCCCCCACCAACAATCCCTGCCGGTACGAGACTCGAACCCGCAACCTTTGGGTTACGAGTCTCTAACCATTAGGCCACGACTTCCTCTTTATAAAGAACTTTTAACACCCAAAGAATTTTTCCATTCCACATATATTATTTCCACATATATATATATATATTCTTTATAGTGGAAAAAGGCTCTTTAGATTATTATAATGTTCTTCCCACTAATAAAAAATGGTTCTTTTTAAAAATGTTCACTGAAAGGTTCTTTGAGGAACCAAAAAAGGTGCTTCTATGGCATCACAGTGAAAAACCTCTTTTGGAACCTTTATTTTTAAGAGTGTGGCTATTTCTACCTCACCTGATTTTTAAAAATGAATTTTGCTGGTGTAATGATTCAGTTATTTTAAATAATATTTTCTTTAATTTAACGTAACTAGGAAATGTATGGTTTCACATCACTTGACAATATATTTTTACAGTAGAATGTCAGCTCAAGATAGTATTTTTTTTGTTGTTGCTCAAATTCCTTTTTTTTTTTTTTTTTACACCATCAAAGATTCCTTGGCACCCCAAAAATGGAGCGCACACCTGCTGTAGATGGAGCACTGGTAAAGGCGCAGGAGTGGTGGGTGCTGACGGACAGACAGCGGAGAACACAGGGAGATATTGTTGTGGATTCACTCAAGGTCACCCACTAAAGAGTGTGCCAAGTCTCCTCCACAAATACACCACATACCATGCAGTCTCAATATTCACAAATAATATCTGCAAACGAGACATTAGCATCAAAGTGCAACAGGAATGCTTATACCTTTCTTACTTTCTTTACTTACAGAATGAGAAAAACTTAAATCTCTAAAGGAAACTCCACCATATCGTGAAAAGGGCTGTCTTGAATGTACTGTAAATGATAAATGAATTCAAATAATACAAACTGACCAAGCTCAAGGGAATAACAGCACCAGCTTGCACAAGAACAGTCTCACTGTGCTCTGATCCCAGAACAGCCATCTCATTTGTAATCGTTGATCACTTTTACCCTCATTATGACATCCTTGCTGCAAGCACCCATGCAAAACTATTATCAAATCTATGGTCCCATTTTTCTTCAACGGTTTGAAGAAAAGCAGTTAGTATGGTAATTTCATACCCTGAAACAGTCCTGGATCTCAGGTGATCTATCTTTCCGGGAACATATATAGAATTATTTTATATTCCCTTTGGGAATACTGACTGCTAACTTTTCTATCCTCTTTTATTCTCTCCTGTCCGTCTTATTCCTTTCGGTTGGCCTCCAGATGTCAGCAACAGAGGGAGTGTCCACACTACTCAATGGTGTCTGACACTTCTCACAACAGTGATAACAGGCCACAAAATCGTCCTTCAACTGTCCGCACTCCTGCTGATGTCACTGGGAAATTATGGTTTCTCGGAATCTCCCTCTGACCCAAACTGATACAGAATGATTCATCAGAGAACCAGCAGTTAAAGGGATAGTTCACCCAAAAATGTCAATTCTGCCATTATTTCCGCATCATGTCATTCCAAAGACTTGGTGCACGAGTCATATGAATGTTTTTTCTGGTTCTTCACATTTCTCCTTTGTTTCCCCACAGAAAAAAAACAAAACAAAAAAAAACTGAATCTGGGTTTGGTATAAGATGAGGGTGAGTAAATAAATAGATACGTTCTGAATGACGATCTGCATGGAATTTAAAATCAGATTGAAATGGGTGGTGTAAATAAAATAAGCCAATCAAAAGCTAAAATAAACCAATCATAAGGAAAACAAAGCATGTAAATGCTCAAATCTATTTTTTCAGTCGGATTCAAAAATACCTTTGGCGTCACTGCTTATGCTTATTTATGTCTTACAAACTAATCAGTGCAGGAGACTGAATATTTCCTAAAAAAAGGCAAAAATGACAATTATACCCGAGGTAGCGCTGCATGCGCTGAGGTTTTGTTTGGAAAACATGTAATGCACATGTAATCAAATATATGAACCGGATTGCAACATTTAGGGTTCATATAAACTGAACTTTCAGAATATGAAATCAGATTGGATTCATTCCGATGTATGAAAATTAGTAAACAAACCTAATGATCACAGAATTGTCTGTTTTTGGTTGAACTGTGCCTTTAAGAAGCAGTTTTGAACCTACATCCTTCCTCATACATCAACTAAAGCTACCATCACCAATATTTAACTACACATTCTAACGGAAATTCCCGCAACACTTTATTTTTCAGTGTCCTTGTTATACATTATATGTACTTACTATAGTAATATAGCACACTATAGCAACTACAATATACAATAGTATAGCAACCAATCCTAAATCTTACCCTAAATCTATAGTAAGCATGTACACTGCAATTGCAATACCTTAAAATAAAGTGTAACCAAAGTTCCTTATATTCCACAACAGAGCATCAGCATGATCAGAAGATCAACACACCCATGAGGCATTTGCAGAGAGATTAGGGGAATGTTCTGGTGTACTTCACGTTAATCTACGCAGAAAATGGGATGTTTTGCCATACTAGGGCTTTGATGGAGTGTATACAGGCACACGCTGCATATTGAACTGTCTTACTTCTCGTAATCATGCTTGCAGTAAAGCAAGCGATCCCGACAATAGCAGGTCCCGCTCAGCGCGCTGCGACACACCGCACACTTGACACACGTCTCATGCCAGGACAGTTCATTGACGCGCAGGAGGAAGCGGTCCGCGATGGGAGACTCGCACCCTGCACACACCTCACCTCCTCCCACGTGCTCTGGTGGAGAAGAACAGAACAGGTGTCAGCTGACAGGACACACACAAATGTACCATGAGGGACTCGAGGCACACACATTACAGCACTGATATTAATATGGAAAGATTAAGAAATGATAAATGAAGAATAAGGGTCTCACCGTAAGGTGTGGCGGAGGGGGCCTGCTGAAGACATGACTGGTTTTCTTCTGTTTTCATTCCGTGTCTTCCTTCTTTGGAGTGCTGACTGAAAAACAACAAAGACGTACATATAAAGACGGCAATCAGTCTGTGTTAATATGGAATTATTGTAAGCTGCTTATGATTGCTCAATGTTATTATCATATTTATTATTATATTTACACATATTGTGGGTAAAAAGCACACTGTAATGTAATGTTACTGTGAAAATACTGAAAATATTTGCAGCATAATCTGTGAGGAAACAGAGCATCATTAGTTTCATCAGTAAAAGCCAAAATCAGCTGCAGTGTGGGCCCGTTTTTAATGTGCACTCTAAAATATGTTAATAGTTTTAATAAAAATGGTTTCTATGGTAAAAAATGTTGACCGTAAGTTACCCTACCATATACAATTAAAAATATATTTTAAAAATAACATTACATGTAATATTACTGTAAAAAAGATTTTACAAGTAGAAACGGTTTACACTGTAATTTGCAGATACAATGTATATTATATTTAACCTTAAAAAGGTACATATACTTGGTAACACTTTACAATAAGGTTCCATTAGTTAATGTTAGTTCATGTATTAACTAACATGAACAAACAATGAACAATATATTTATTACAGTATTTAGTAATCTTTTACTAATCTTCATGTTAATTCACAGTGCATTAACTAATGTTAACAAGCACAACTTTTGTTAAAATGTTATATTATAATTAAGTAAATGTTATAATTAACGTTAATTATATAAGATTAATAGCCTAAATGCTGTAGAAGTATTGTTCATGTTTAGTTCATGTTAACTAACTAATGTTAACTAATGATCCTTATTGTAAAGTGTTACCACATACTTTTACGTTATAATGTTGACATTTATAATGCTTAAATTATGTTTTTATAATTGTCTTGTAACTTACGGTGGAAAGGGGGCGTGCCCAGAATTCCTTTCATGAAGCATCACATTTGTTTAAGTTTATGTTTCATTTGAATATTTATAGTTATTTTGTTATCGGTTATGTATAGGAGTGTTTTTAATGGCATTGCATGTAGTTTATTTCATGTTTACTACAGTATTTTAGTCATGTGTGTAACAGTTAAGGTGTTTAGTGTTCGTGTCAGCGTTTTTATGTTAGCCTATCAATTGTCACGATTGCTGGAGAAGTTTTGTTGAACTTAAGTCGCCGTTATTCTCAGGTTTTAGAAATATAGGAATATATATGTTGGTATATAGCTAGGCTATAGGCCTACTGATATGATATGATTTAATGACATGTAAAGTCAGGAACAGCAGGCTACAATATAAACGTAATCTCGTAATGCTTGGAAAAATGTTTTTGTTTTTTACCGTAAATGTAACATTTATTTACAGTGTAGCCTATTCTTCATACGCTTTCTCTCTTATCTGTTTTAATTAAGACATAACCTCTTTTATTTTATCTCACTATATAAAAGGGAAGTGTTTAATGAATGTGTGTGAGAAGGACTGGAGGTGTTTTGTGCTCAGGCATGTGTTTTAGGAGCTCTTGCAGGTGAATTATCCGCTAGTAAGGCGCGCGGCTTCGGTAGCCTATATCTGCCTAAACGAAACAACGCAAACACAAAATCATCAAATATTTCCCGGTCCAGTGCCGTCGCCGTCAGATTTAAATCAGGAAGCCTATTGCCTATGAAATAATAAGGGATGACGGTCGTGATTAAAGCTTTGATCATTGTAATTTAGAATTAAGCTTTCACCTATATTTGAGATTTACACTCATTGAAGTAATAGGCTATGATATGACTGAAAAACTCTTCTGTATTTTATTGCCTACTGCTTTTAGAATATTTAGGATGTGTTTTTTATTTTTGTTGGTGATTAAATTATTAGTCCATAATTATTATTATTACTACGTTTATTTCTGCTTATGAAAAACCCCTTGCCTGGAAATTTAAAGGTGAATTTGAAGTCTTTTTTTCTCATCACACGCTGCGTGTCTGATCTCTTTCCCCATTAATAATGCAGTTGATTGCATGAGTTTGATTATTAAAAAATACGGGAGTTAATAACGGGTCATCAGTCTCACTGAGGAATATATTCGCGGTGTCGTGGAAGTATGAACATTTTATTCATATATTTTTAAAAATTATTTATTTTTACGGAGCTATATGCTACATGTGATCAAAAATATATTTTAATACTGTCTGTTAAATTTACGTAGACTACATAGGCTATATAGCCCAATTGTCGTCGTATAAAGGGAACATGTTATAATGATTGTGGCTGATCTAGGCTTATGTTTGACAGGGAAAAAAAATCAACTTATCATTCGTAGCTAGTATAAACACTCATTCCTTTACGAGACTAAACGGATGCAATTGATGAATTCATGATATGATATTTTGATGTGCGTTCATTTCATTGTTTAAATTAAAGTTTATATCGATGTGCGTTCATTTCATTGTTTAAATTAAAGTTTATATCGATGTGAATTGCGGCTGATCTAGGCTTATGTTTGACAGAAAAAAAAATCAACTTATCATTCGTAGCTAGTATAAACACTCATTCCTTTACGAGACTAAACGGATGCAATTGATGAATTCATGATATGATATTTTGATGTGCGTTCATTTCATTGTTTAAATTAAAGTTTATATCGATGTGCGTTCATTTCATTGTTTAAATTAAAGTTTAGTGTTAATTTATATTCGAAGATGCTCCATGACAAGAAATATCAGTGCTCTGCGACGTGATATAAAGTGCAAACGTAAATATGAACGATATCAATAGAGTGTTTTGCTTATGTGTGAAATAGCGGTGCTTTCTAAGACATCAGTTTGATCCTAATTTTTTACTCGAAACCAATCCATCTATAAACTTAGGCTACAGAAACTAAATTGTGGCTGTATTTCACTCAAGTACCGTACAGAGTTACCTATTTTTTTAAAAATCTGACATTTTAAATTATTTGTGCACAATTACACATGCTGACAAGACGTCCTTGTGGGAAGTGTAGATTTTTGTAAAGGTTATTTTTTAAATTCTGAACTCATAAAATACAGGCTAAGGTTTTACTCAAAGTATCAGACATAAAAGTTAGATGCAAATAAATTAATGTATAAACAAATTAATTAACACCAGCGCAGCAAAACTTCGCATTTCTGTAGCCTAAAATGTAGATTAGGCTACAGCAGACAATACAGACTATAGCCTATATATATATGTAAAAGTGTTATCAAAGTCATGAGAATTTATCATGCAGGTCTCTATGTGAACGCACTAAGAAAAGTTCAAGTAGCCTATCATTTGTGTGATGATTGTAGGTGATGCTCAGACCTGCTTATGCGTCCCGTGAACTTACCTAGCGCTGAAACACACTCCTCCTGAGATTTCTGTAGGTAACATCAAAATACCTTTGAAGAAGAGGACGGGCACCAGTGCTCCAGAAGGCAAACTTTAGTGTTATAGTCCAAAATGCACGCAGTGGCGCAAAAGCATCGCCAGACTGTGTGAGATGTTCAGGCGCACGCTTTATGTGATGGAGTGAAGACTCGGGCTGCGCGCGCACAATTATGACTGCTGGAGGAAGCTAGGAAACAACAAGGAGGGGTGCGAGAAGATGAAAGAAAAAGAAAAAAAAACGTGCATTTACAAAGTAGATTTGGTCTATTGAATCTGGCACCGAGTATCTCGCTCTTTCTGCTTCAGAGAAACAGTTTACTTTCTGACTGATATGATATGCTGCTATAAACAAATAGATTGGCAAGTTCCATACATCATAGGCTATGTATAATAATCTCAGACTTCAGGTAAAGATCATCAGACTTAAGATGAAAGACATATTTCTGAGCGTATATTCTAATATTGGTCTATAAGTTACAAGCAAATGAAGTTCAAGATGTGAAGGTAACGTTACGGTTGAAATCAGCCACCATTCAGCATAATGTGCGTACATTATCAAATGTGTAATTTGTACTTGTAGTCTGTATATAGCTTAAATAATATAAACGTATAAATAAACATTTAGAATATATGTTTAACACAAAAATCTTGGGCAATAACAGAAGTAGCCTGTGAATTTGTAGTCTAATATAGCCGTGTCAAGAGCTACAGTGGAATAATACTTACTTTATACAGTTCTGCTGACAAAACTATGTCTAACGTGGACGTTCAGGTCATTTTTGAAGTAATTAATATGCTCAATTAAGAGCTAAAAGGTTCTAACTCGAAAATTTCGTCAAATGGAATGCGCATCCATGTCCACGCGCGTCGCGTCTGCCATCTAGTGGCCAAATCGTGGCTCCATGCCTGTTATTACATATTATGCACTTTCCTGCGGAGTTTAGCTCCAACCCTGATCAAACACACCCGAACAAGCTCTGTAGGATTACTAGAAAGTTACAGGCAGGTGAGTTTGATTAAAGTTGGAACTAAACTCTGCAAGACAGTGGACCTCGAGGGCCAGAGTTGAGAACCCCTGGGCTAAAGTTAGGCCTATATGAAATACAAATAATAAGCAGGTAGATTGACAGTTAGCGCATAACATTATAAAGTGGTCAGGCCCTGATGTGCTCGAAATAATAATTCTCCCCACTGATAATAATGAAACGTCTCATTGTGTGACTCCTCAGTGTCCAGTTTCTCCTGGTATTTAGATATATTGTGCAGATCGCTGCAGAGGCGACGTTTACGGCGATCTCACGTGGTAAATGTTACTTTCCTCAACGCTTTTCAGTATGGGCCAATCACTGCTGCTTGCGATAACCAGATTGTTGTTATTATTATTATTAAAGATTAATTCTTAAACGAATTAAATAAAGACTGTTGAGGCGAATTTCACTATTTCACTGAGGCGATATGCAAGAACTTGAATTAATTGAACTTGAATTAATGACATTTTTAACTACTAGGCTTAACTAATTTCCAACTTTAAAACTAAAGATCTGTTAAACATTATTTAATTTATCATTTTAGTGGCGTTCTAAAGTTATTACAGAGTAGAGCTCTATATTACAGCGCAGACAAAATCTGACTAAACATTAATTAGCCTATTATTGAAGAATCAAAGAATTAAAAAAATAGATCATGGTTTCCACAAAAATATTAAGCAGCACAACTGTTTTCAAGTTTCTACTTATATGCTTAACGAGTCACTCCGCTATCGTTGACTGTCTGGCGCCATCTTGTGACTGAAAACACTTAACCACCGCGTGTTACAATGGAAGACTTCAGCATTAATTTTAACATATATGGTAAAAACTAATCTTTTTAGCCGTGTAATAAGCGGGATAATGTACATCCAGCCGGTTGTTATCTCAGAATAAACCCCTTCAGGCTGATACAAGACCCGATCACCCTGTTGTGGTTTATTCTGAGATAACAACCGGCTGGATGTACATTATCCCTTACTTAACAAGCACAACTATTGATTTTAATAATGCATTAGTAAATGTTGGAATTGACATTAACTAAGATGAATAAATGTAGTATTGTTCTTGCTTAGTTCATGTTAACTAAAATAGTTAACTAATGTTAACTAATGAACCTTATTGTAAAGTGTTACCAATTTATTATACTATTATATATCTGCCGATCAGTGTTAGCAATTTTAAATATGCTGGTTCAGTTCTATGGTATTTGTGTGAGACTATTTGCAGCTAAACTACTAAACAATCTTAACGAGTGGAAAACTTTGACCTTCTGAACTTTTGTTTGGTTCTTGCTAATGAGAAATTCTTATATGGTTAAACTGTTCCAGATAGAGGAGACTAGTCTAATAGCATAACTATTAGCATCCTCCAGGCTTTCCTGTAGTAAACAACTCGGTGAGGAGCTAAAGCAGAGTGCAACAGGGGTAAGGCTCTAACATAAGCACAAGCACACAAGCAAGCAAAAGTAATCTTCACAGAACAAGCGTTTAATCCCTCCAGGCCTTTCCACAGGCACGGCGGGACAATTAAGGGCCAAGCGGTGCAAGAGAGGCTCAAGCAGATCAAGATGAACTCTGTCGCCTGCATGAGCACGTCCACCTGAGGTGAGCTTTTAGCATCGTCATGACAACAGCCAGCTTAAAGCACGGCCTGTGTTTATTTGACTTGGTGTGGAGCTGCTGATTGCGTGAAGTCGAGTTCTTATTGCCTACCTCCAGTGAGCGTGGACGTTCCCTGGCTGAGGCTTCAGGGTCCTGAGAGGAACTGCTGGCAGGAGACAAGGGACATGAGGCTCTGGGAGGGGTGTCTGGGAGGGGGGCCGTGGGAGGCGTGCTGGATCTTGTTGCGGGACCAAATACTTGGTCATAGTGTGAGATCATGAACTCCACGAGAAGAGCCTGATAGCTGGTTTCCAGTAGAGCGATCATCGACACGTCTCCTGACACTAGGGGCCGCAGGAGAGTGGGGCCAAACACAATGCCCAGGTTTCCTGGAGACATCTTGTTGTCTTCAAAATGTTCTGCAACCCTGAAGAGAAGAAAGTGACGGATTGGTAGCGAACTACCATCTACCATCCGACTGGTATTACTTTGCTATGAGTAATACCATATTGAAAAATATTCTAAATCTAAAAAATGAAATACTGTCAAAACAATTACAAGTAGCTGAACTAGTGTTATTTTAGTATATATGAGATACTATTATAGTTTTTATTAATATTTTGAATTAGTTTTTATTTGTATATTTTATGTTTTCATTTTAATTTTAGTTAAACTTTTAGTTATTTTGCTGTGTTTTTGTCATTTTTTTAATGTCTATATAGTGTTTATTAATTTTTATTTTGGTTTTAGTTTGAGTTATTTTAGGTAAACTAAACAAAAATGAGAAATGTTGCTTTGGCAACTAGCCAAAACTTTTTTTTTTAATGGTTTCCATTTTAGTTAACGACAATAACCCTGAGCTGAACACCTAAACAGGTGAAAGTCTTTCAATTTCATTGCCATCTATACAAAAGTGGAAACTTAGGAATGATGTTGCACTGTAATGTAAACATGGACCATGTAACATATACTGCAGTGGATTCTAAGAGAGGAGAAATTTTACTGAAGAAAGCATTTTATAATTAGTGTTTAAGTGCTCTTTAGGGCACTGTTTTATGACTGACAAAGTTTGCTGGGTGACAATCTTTGCTAGTGTTCAGAAGAATGAGCTGATTTGAGACACACATTAAGTATTTTGCTAATTTTAGTGCAATTTTAGAAAACACTGTAATGTGATTTCACACAGTATGGTACCTGGTCAAGTGGGCTATCATGTGCTGCACTGCGTTGTAGTTACACAAAGGCAGTCGTCCGATGAGCTCTCTGAGTTTGACCACAATACTCTCCACAATCCCAGCAGTCTCGGCAACATGGTCCTTTTCACTAAGCCTCTGAATCTCCTTACCCACATTGATGAAGTCGTTGTAAAGGTCAAAGGTGAGTAAAGGCTCCGGAAGCTGTGAAAGAGGAAGACTGGGTGTTACGTTATATGTTTTAAGCAGGGTCGTATCCACAATAGACACTGAGGGATACAAGCATCTACCCCCAAGGCCCCAAAATAGAAATGGCCAAATTGTCCCCCCCCAATATGTGATATTCTTCATGCTGCTCAGCTGCACTGCATTACATACCACTCTGTTTGTTGTTGTTATAACAGTAAGTTTTGAAAGTTAAAATTCAGGCTGCTCTGCAGTCTAACAGCGCTCAACAATGTCAAAATAATTGAGATTACTTGAATTACTTTACTTCAATTTTACGTTTTTATTTTTATGTGTGTGTGTGTGTTTTACCTCTTTGAAGAAATGCTTGAGTACGGAGGTGATGTCATGCGGTGAGAGGTCACCAAGGTCAACTTGGTCTTTCTGGATTTCAAAGGCCTGACATAACTTCAGAATGCGAGGTTTGGATCCACTGATTCTGTAAACTCCCTAGATATAGAGAAAAGAACAAGAGATCGAAGACAATTAGGTTATTTCATTTTCTTAAAGTTTGAGTGGTCTTTGCCCACGCAACATTTGCTGGTATGGTGCTAGTGTGCATGATGCAGCTACTTAGATATTCTTCTGAGAGGCCTTCAACTGCTCTGCACACTACACAACTTTTAAAATCGTTACAGATTTTAAAGCACTAGGCGACTTTGTGAATGGTTACAGAGAAATGACCAAGGATCACCAAGTCTTTCCGACCACGACAAACATGTCACAGGAAACGCATGACAAATAAAAAACAAGGTGTTGGAAAATCTGCACAAAATATCAAACATGTTTGATATCCTTCATTGGACTAAATCATAGTATGAACCAAAAAAATCAAAGAGTGTGTGTCCATCAGAAACAATGTGATTTTCTGTGAAATCTGTCAACTCCAACTAACCAAAACCTGCAGACTGACTCTGACTTTCGGCAACTAGCATTGACTCATCTAGACTGCAAATCGGGGTAAAAATCTATGCATTGTAGTTGTGTATGTTCTCTATGATATTCTGGTCTATAGATTTGGCTCGGGGGCCTTCAGTGCAAGTCTATGGTATTTGTAGCCTGTTTTATCATTTGCAAAGTGAAAACTGTAAATATAATTCCTTAAAGTAACAGCTCATCCCTCCTCAACAAGTCACATGATTGGAGGTGTCCTTCATATCTGTAGCAAATATAGGCAAATTACAATTCACTAGTTGCCTAAAGTTCCGTGGTTGCCAAAAATTCAGCCTAAACGCAAACGCATGCTATAGATCTTAATGTGATATTATTATTATTATTATTATTTTTATTTGACCTCATGATCTTTAATCAGAATGTCATAACTGGAACTTCTGGTGAAAACGACTCCCAGGTGACATATGCAGGACTTCTCCAATCATTTAGACCTCTTAAACCCGCCCCTGCTACGGCCACATCTCAACATTTAATCAAAAACCAATGCACAGATCCAAGTCCTGTCCTACATTTATGATCAGATCTTTTTCGATAATCTGATACATATCAATACAATACAATTGTGTGCATAACAATACGGAAGAAAAGATCTGTTGGTACTTCCATTTCATTGCGACTTTATCAAGCACCATCATCTCTTCACAACATTATAATATCCATGTACTGAGTTCCTACCTGGACTCCGAGAGCCCTGCTCTCAATCTCTTCAGTGCAGCGCAGGACAACGAAGGGCACAGAGTCTTGGCTCTCTCTGGGCAGAAGGGAGATCTCCATCCCAAAGATGAAGCCTCTCCTGTGCTCACACTCCATCTGGCACACCTCCAGGCACTTCCTGTGGACTGCAAGGCCACACTGGCAAGAGAGGAGCAGCTGTCAGTCTGCCATGTTCTGACCAGTGCACAGTGAGATAAGGAATGGCTCTTTTCTTTTATTAACTAGTTAGTCATATCCAGCTACTTACAGTACATCACCAGAAGTAAACTGAGGTTAAATGTCTCAACAATAGAGCACAATATTTGGGTTCACCAAGTAAAAATCCCATTTATTTTCTGTTTGTTTATTAATTTTTTAACGCCATGTTAGCATCAATGATTTTTACATGGCAAACAAAAGGTCAGCATCATAATCCATAGAATTTTAAATTATTATATGTGACCCTGGACCACAAAACCAGTCATAAGGGTCCATTTTTCAAAATTGAAATTTATACATCATCTGAAAGCTAAAATAAGTTTTCCATTGATGTATGGTTTGTTAGGATAGGACAATATTTGGCCGAGATACAACTATTTGAAAATCTGGAATCTGAGGGTGCAAAAAAATCAAAATATTGAGAAAATCGCCTTTGAAGTTGTCCAAATGAAGTTCTTAGCAATGCATATTACTAATCAAAAATAAAGTTTTAATATATTTACAGTAGGAAATTTACAAAATATCTTCATGGAACATGATCTTTACTTAATATCCTAATGATTTTTGGCATAAAAGAAAAATCAATAATTTTGACCCATACAATGTATTTTTGGCTATTGCTACAAATATACCCCAGCGACTTAAGACTGGTTTTGTGGTCCAGGGTCACATATAAAACATTTTTAACTTGGCGTAAGACAAAAAAATCTAAAATCTAAAATTGTGATACATTACAAAATATTTCACTTAAACGTGATTCTGAATAAAAACCTTTCTAGCAGTATTATAAAACCTTTCACAACAGACCTACCATTAGCTCTGAGATTATTTGATTTGATTCTGTAGAAACTTCAAGATTTCATATTCAGTTTCAAATATAATTTATTTTTTTCATCCTAATTTTTTGCCTACTCTACCCATAATAATAAAAAAAACATTGTTTAGTAATCATACACTTTGAAAAACAAATATTTTTGTGTATATATATATATATATATATATATGTATATGTATGAGTATATAGCAATGAACTCCAAATATATTGTATTTTATAATAGTAATCAATGACTTACAATTTCTAAAAAAGGAAGATTTTAGCATTCTTTTAAAAATACTTTAATATACTTAAGTGCAAACTGAATCTAATGGTTTCAGACTTAACTGTATGTTATTTACAGTTAAATCAAAATGTATTATATTTTGTATTTTTATTGTATATTGTAAACTATAATTTGTATTAAATGCAATTAGTTAAACTTAAAGAGTATTTTTTTCTACCCAGTTAAGTAGGATTTAGGTACATCTTTATATGTAAATTCACAATTACATCTATTGTCGGTTTCACTTTATTTTGATGGTCCCTTTAACATATTCTGTTGACTAAAAGTAACGTTGCACCTACATGTCTACTAACTCTTATTAGAGTATTAGTAGAGTATTAGTAGACTGGTAGGGTTAGGGTTGGAATAAGTTGACATGTACTTGCAAAAGTTACTTATAGTCAGTAGAATGTCTGTTGTGAGACCATGACAATAAAGAGTTAGCAGATATTAAGCAAACAGTCTACTAATATTTTGACGACCGTTAGTAGACATGCAGGTGCAACATTACTTATTGTCAACAGAATGTTAAAAAGGGACCACTGTCTTTGAAATATGGTTAAAGTGTACTGCCTTCAATTCATTGCTTAGATCTTTAACCAAAAAGCTACGCACGCTTCTCTGACACTCACCTCTTCGCACTCGATCCCGTTGACCAAGATGTAATTGTCACATTGCTTACACTTGACCATCTTGCTCTTCATTTTTTTCAGTCTGTGGGTCAGTGCGGCACGTGACGCATTTCGTGGTTTGCATGTCATTCCATTGCTATCAGACAAACCCTCTTCGCTCTCTGCACACACATGAAGAAGAGTCAACAACTGCACTGTCAGCCGTAAAAATGCAGAAAGTGTAAGTGATGAAAAGCGTCTCACACCTGCTTCTTGCAGAGTGTCTTTCTCATCAAGATCATCTGAAGACATGGTTCCCGTGGAGGAGGCCTTGGGCAGCTTACGGTTCCCGTGAGCTTCAGAGAGAAGACATATTACTAATCTATGTACAGATGGGACGGTTACTTCAGAAGTTCATAAGAGGTTTTCCCTACCTGGACTGGACAGTGATTCAAGACTTCCTCCAGTGCTGTCCCTGTCACTGTGGCCGGGACGTCCTGTACATCAACAAATCACATGAAAATGTTCAAGTGCACTTCATCTGGATGAGTTACATGTAAGAAAATGCGTGAGAGGAGACATACGTCCATCTGCTAAACTGCTGCTGTGTTTCAGTTCCTCTGGTAGCGCATATGAATCTTGTTGGTAACTTGGAGCAGCGCTTTGTTTACGTCGACCTGTTGGTGGGGATCTGTGAAATTAAAGGGATAAACAGCTGTTTAATGGATATACCAAAATCCAACTCAAATGATGTGGTTGCATTTGAAGTGAGCTTTAGTCGACTGAGATTACAGGCAATCCAGTTCTGTGCACAATAAGCTTCAGTGGGCTTTAGCAACTGATTCATGCAGCTGAAGAACATGAAGCTGATATCTGTTACAATAAAAAACCTAGCAAATCTCAAAAAGAACGAAAAGACAAAACGCAAACACAAAAACAAGTGTATGTTTCCATGTTAATGCATAATACTAGCTGTGTGATAAGAATAAGTTAGATAGGACTTAAATAAAATGTTTTCGGCTTTTTGGACATCTACGATGGAATAATTGAAGTACCTTGGAATTTACGCAGGAATATTTTTTGATTTCTCAAAATCTTGCCTTCAATTATACTACAGGTGCATCTCAATAAATTAGAATGTCGTGGAAAAGTTCATTTATTTTAGTAATTCAACTCAAATTGTGAAACTCGTGTATTAAATAAATTCAGTGCACACAGACTGAAGTAGTTTAAGTCTTTGGTTCACATAGTATCATATACTAATTTGGCTATATATTCACACACACACACACACACACACACTATTCAAAAGTTTGTGGACAGTAAGAGTTTTTCATTATTTGAATAAAAATACAGTAAAAACTGTTACATTGTGAAATATTATTACAATTTAAAATATCTGTTTTCTAATCTAATATATTTTATAATGTTATTTATTCCTGTGATGCAAAGCTGAATTTTCAGCATCATGACTCCAGTCTTCAGTGTCACATGATCATTCAGAAATCATTCTAATATACTGATTTAATGCTCAAGAAACATTTCTTATTATCAGCGTTTAAAGGAGTTGTGCTACTTAATACTTTTGTGGAAACAGTGATGCATTTTTTGATGAAGAGAACGTTCAAAAGAAGAACAACATTTCAAATGGAATCTTCTCTTTCTGTTTATTTACAGTCAATTTTGATTAATTTAACTCGTCTTTTCTTAATGTAAGCATTAATTTCTTTAAAAAAAAAAATTCTACTGACTTCCTGCGACTTCTAAGTTAGTCTTGTGTGTCCTCACCTCTTGTTTTGAGGCATGAACTCCTGAAATGTGAAGTTCTGGAGAGGCGGTTCGGCCAGGTGCTTTCCCAGGATGTATTGCAGGTAGGGTTCACCTGGTTCACAGGGCCTGCAGGTCAGCTCTAAGTTCTGGTAGCCCAGAGGAACCTGCTCAGTCTGCTGCCGCTGGTAATAAAACATGTTCACCGTTGCCTGACAGAGGAATAAGACAGACGACTTTAATCAAGAATCCATGGATGAATGTAAATAATGCAAACTTTCCTGTACAAAGGTTTTTCACAATGCAGTTGCAACAGTGTTTTCGTGGTTGCTAGGGTATTCTGAGTGTAAACCAAAAGAGCCCACTCCCTATAATATTTCGGCCTCTAGATATGGCAGTCTTGTATATTGATGGTTACTTGTCTTATTAAGGTGCCTCTAAAGGTGAACCAACCTCTTTTAGCACAGTGTCTCCTTGACAGATGAGCTTGCGAATGTGGATGATGATTTTGCGCTTCACCTTCTCCAGCTCTTTCTGATGGTTGTTTGCTTCACTCACACACTGCCTGTACAGTATCTCAGTCTCTGTAACCTGCACAGTAGCAAAGCACAGTGATGAATATCATAGTGAAGAAATGATAATTGGCATAACACACATTTATATGTTAAGAAATAATCCTAAATAGTCTCACTGAAATGTTTAGGTTATATTTCAAATACATTGATTAGAATAATATTTTTTTCTAACAATTTTCTTCAGAAGTATAATTTTTATTCATTAAGGCATATTATAATCTCACATAAATATTTTGTGCACAGTATGTTTGCTTGAAATTGTCTTGATGTCACTTAAATTGCAGTTTTTGAAGCGAGCGGGTCTCAAGTTCAAAATGAAGAATTTAAAAAAGTTAAAGTCAACATTATCAACTTTAAATTTATTTTTTAAAACTAAATACTTCAGAAAAATCAAATTATTTTTCTTATGTCTGCAAAATTTCTGTCAACTATGTTACTAATCGAACAACCCCCCGTAAACTAAAATATCATATGGATATCTGCAAAAAATTTATTATTATTATTTTTTTTTATTTGTTTAAAACAATCACTGTACATATGATGGAACAGACAAAATGGCCTTTAAATATATGTGCTACTTGCACTTAATCAGAGTGTGTAGTGGCATACAGTTTATCTTTAACAGTTGACCAGGTTAAACATCCTTTTCCTTGTAATATCAAGATGGTGTTTAATGATTAAAGGGAGAGTTCACCCAAAAAAAATGAAAATTCTGCCATACAGGGTTGGTACAAGTTGAGGGCGAGTAAATGATGGCAGAATTGTAATTTTTGGGGAAACTATCCCTTTAAGCTTGGCAACTAGCAGATATGTTATACCGATGAAATATATAAACCGAGACAGTAATTTTATCGAGAAAGCCTATTGTTTTTGTACTTTTGTGTTGATGTGAAATGATAGAACGAGCCATATACTCGAGATGACCTTAGCTTGGGCGTCATCTCTGGACTTCCTCCTCCTATCCAGGGTCTTGTAACCCCCCGTGTCCTCTTCAGCTTTGGCCGTCATGGCTTTGGCCTTCTCCAGCTCCTCACAGCGCTGCAGGTATTGCTGTCTTGCTCTCTTCAGCGCAGACACAGCATCATTCTGACGCATATAACATTATCAGTCACATTACTGGAAAAGCTGACCACAACAAATACACATCAAACTCAGCAGTATGAACTGACCATCCTCTTCTGTTCTTTTGACCACTGCTCTTTGAATTCCCGTCGCCACTTGTCGATTTCATTCTTCTTGGCCGAGAGAGCCTGTGGGATAGATAGCCCACAAGTTACATATTATGTTTCAGATTTCTTGTATTTGTTGTAAACATTGTTCAGATGGATGGAGCACCTGGTAGCAGCGCTGTTGAATGAGTTCAGCAGTTTGTTTGGCTGATGTGCTGCTTTTCAGATCGTGTTCTAGCACCTGTGTGTAGATGCTCTGCAGAGGCATCATGTCCTGTGGAATGCGTCCAAACACATGCATTAAGGCTGACAGCAAACAACCTTGTTCCTCATGCAACAGGACAACAGAACAGCTACATTAAGGTGTTTGTTCAGGGACACCAGGGTGTTATTAAATTGTATTTTTATCTTTTTGTTACATGAAAGTCACATTAAAGTCTTTTTAACTTTGATTTCTTTCTTTCTTTCTTTCTTTCTTTCTTTCCTTCATCATTTATTTTTGCTACTTTTATGTATATATTTTTTTCTGTAAAAGACTATATAATAATATTAAAATAATTGTGTGTGTTTATATATACTACCGGTCAAAAGTTTGGGATCAGAACGATTTTTTATGTTTTTTACAGGAGTTTCTTATGCTCATCAGGGCTGCATTTATTTGATCAAAAATACAGAAAAAAATGTAATATTGTGAAATGTTATTATGATGTAAAATAAGGTTTTTCTATTTTTATATACATTAAAATCTAATTTATTCCTGTGATGCAAAGCTGAATTTTCAGCATCATTACTCCAGTCTTCAGTGTCACATGATCTTCAGAAATCAT